CCGCGCCACGTCCGGGATGCGGTCCGGGCCATTGCCCCCAGCGCCGCGCCTCGCCGCGCCCGGCGTGCGGTCCGGGCCGATATCCCTAACACCGCGCCTAGGATGCGGTCTGGGATGCGGTCCAGGCCGATGCCCCCCGCGCCGCGCTCGGTTTCGTAGAGGTCGCGGGGAGGAGGGGAGAGTGCGAGCGGCCTGGACCGGGAGCGACGGGACGGCAGTTCTCCGAAGATCCCGGCGGTTTTAGTCTTTCCGAACGTAACTTAGCCTAGCTACAAAGTAAAACTCCATTTGTCTGGAGCAAACCGAGCATCCTTGAACGACGTTAGCTCGGTGTTTAAGGCTTTCTTTGGAAAGGACGTTTCGGGTGTAATCGTGGTTGCCCTAAGAAGGAACTGGGCATTTCTCTTTCTGAGTGTGGGATGATCACCTAATGCAATGTGGGAATTAACGTTTGGTCATTGAAGCCACACATAAACACGTTGGGAGTGCACTGGCGAACAACAATGCTTTTAAAAATGAAAGGTTTAGATATGTTGTTTGTACTCCTTAAACTCTCCAGCCATCTTTTTTTTTTGTAATTCCAGATTTATTTTAAAAAATGAAAGATTTTGGGCTGGGAAGATGGTTCAGTGGAAGAGTGCTTGCCTAGCATGCATGAAGTCCCCGGTTCGATTCCTCAGTACCACATAAACAGAAAAGGCTGGAAGTGGCGCTGTGACTCAAGTGGTAGAGTGCTAACCTTGAGCAAAAAGAGGCTCAGGACAGTGACCAGGCCCTGAGTTAAAGCCTCAGGACTCGCAAAAAAATTTTTTTTTAAGTGAAAGATTTTAGGTTAAATGAAAGATTTTTGGTTTTGGCAGGAACACATTTTTAAACCTTGGTGTAGGTTGAGAAGTATTAATTGGTTTTTGTTTTGACAACCAACATTTGAGGGAGCTAAACTAGTTTTCCTACTGTTGAAGCCACTGTGATGGAAGTTGTGGTGATTTTGCTTTTCTTTCTGAAAAGATCCTTGTTTTTCATGTTTCTCTTGCAACATTTGATATGCCAGGAAAGCTTTAAGATGAGTTAAAATTGTGTTTGTGACCCAAATGCAAGTTAAGATCTGATAGAAGAAGGAAACTATGAACTTTCAAAATTCCCAACTTCCTCTATGTTTGCTTTGCAGAGGTCAGTAAAAATACCTTAACAGGTACCCCTTCCTTCTTCATCTGCCCTTGAGAAGAATGGAAAGATAGGCTCTATGCATGAGGCAGAGTCCCTGGAACCTAGAGGGAGGAAGCAGCATGTGCTATTCTAGTCAGGCCCTCTTTTCATCTCATCTAGCCCACTTCCATTTTTAAGTTTAGAGTAACAGTTGTAATGAGAAAGTTAGGTGAATTCTCACTAGTGGTAGAATAAGAAGAACATAACAGCATAGAAGTGTAAAATTCAAATTGGAAAATAAAATCTGAAGTACATTTAAAAATATTTTTTATAGATTCTGTAGTTTAAATTTTTATCTTCCCATCTTGTATAGACCGTTTAGTTTCCTGGACCAGCTGAGAACAATTTTAAAAACATCAATATTCTAGTGTAAAAGAGTTACACATTTGTATGTCACTCTGTATTGTGCAAATACATGAATTTTTCCCGTAGAGTATAAATTTTGGTTGTAAAAGTTGGGGGAATGGAGAGCTTTCTATTTTGTGCTTCTACTGTGTGTCATATATTACTGAGGATTGCTATTGCTGATGTTTTATATTTGTTTTTCTGGAGAAAATTTTAGCTCTTGGAATTAGCGTTGTTGATATGGAATGCTAAAATATGATGTTTATATTTTATAACTTAAAATTTTGTAATTACTTTTTTATTTTTTATTTTTTGTTGGTTGTGGGGCTTGAACTCTGGGCCTGGGTGCTGTCCCTCAGCTAGCGCTCTACCACTTGAGCCACTGTGCCACTTCCGGTTTTCTGAGTGGTTTATTGGAGATGAGTCTCACAGACTTTCCTTGCCTGGGCTGGCTTTGAACCGGGATCCTCAGATCTCAGTCTCCTGAGTAGTTAGGATTACAGGTGTGAGCCACCAGTGCTCAGCTTGTAATTACTATTTTGTGGGGAGACTTTATTTAGATCTTGGTATAGTAAAACTATAGATAGCACAGGTGTATTTCTGATTAGTGTTAGATTTTAAGTTAAGGAATTTTTTGCCTTTTGGTAAGAGTGGTACTGAGGTTTGAATTCAGGGCCTTATTATTAGCCAGGCACTCTGCCAGTACTTGGGCCATACTGCATCTATTTTGCTTCAGTTATTTTTCAGGTAGGAGCTCTAGCCTTTGCCTGGGGTTACTACTCTCAGCTGCTCCTACCTCACACCGGTCTGGGGTCATAGGTAAGATCCATCATGCCCAGCTAATTGATTGAGATGAGGTCTTGCTAACTTTATTGGGGCTGGTCTAAACCTTGGTTCTCCTGATCTCTGCATCTTGAGGAGGTAGGATTACAGGTATGACCCACTATGCTCCAGCTGCCATACCATATGAATCTGAAATTTGTCTTTAGATACAGATATCAGAAACGTATTAAGAATCTCACTCAAACAAGAATCTTAAAGAGTGATCCCTCTGGTATCATCTTTGGGATTGGTGTCCTTGGTGTATACCAGATCTGAGTAGAAAATTGGTGACCAGTGGCACTAGAGTCCCAAGTGGATTGCTGATGGTGAGATTTTTCTTTATCATTATGCAAATTTAGAAAGTACAACACTACAGTATATTGCCTTGTTCCTGATACTTACGCAGAGTTTACTAGCATTTTATTGTGGGGTTTTTTTGGTTGCAATTTTTCCATCTAACTCAGAATCCAAAAGATATCCACCTCTTGACTTTTAAATCTGTTTTAATCTAGACTCCCACAACCCCTCCCCCCATGCACACCTTTTGAGACCATCAACTTAATGTCCTGGACAGTGCCCTGCCTTTTGGGTTTGCCAGTCAGCATATTCCTTTTGATTCCTTGCTTTTGTCTGTAAACTGAAAGTTAAAATTTTAGTCTGCAATTGACACAGAATGGTTGATACTTCTGTCACATAAGGGTACACATAATAGATTTTTTTTAGAACTCCTGGTGAACCATTGGATTTATTTACTAAATAGGTATGCTTTGATATTTCTGAATTAGAAATAAGTGCCTCAAATTAATATTGAAAAAAGTCCCATGTTTTATTGGATGGATAGTTCTTCAGTTTTTTATGCACATTTAAAAGGTATTTAGGGGGAAATCACCACGTGTTAGAATAGTGCAAGCCTTTTTTAAAAAATAATTTTTATTGCAATTGATTGCATAAATTCACAATATTGTGAGATAGTGATAGAGTCATAAAAACATTTTAACCTTCACTAGCTTTGACAATACAACTATTTCGTTTATTTACCATTGGTTTTTATTTTGTAACATTTTAAAGAACATTTATTAACTTTCACATTTACATGTGTTATAAGAAAGGTTTATCATATGGGACAAACTAAAATGAGGATATTAACTTGTATGAGGTTGAACAGCACAAAACCAGTCATCCATTACTCTACCGTTGGCAGAGTAGGCCATCAAAATACTATGATGAGTTGGGTGCTTTCCATCCTACATTGCTTGGGAATTTTTTTTTTTTCTCTTATGATATTGGGCCATTCCACACGGTGGAACTTTATTATTTATAACCCATAATAACAAGTAGTGATAATAAGAAAATAGTTCATTGCAAGTCACAGAAGTTTTATATTGTATTTAATGTATGATATAGAAATATATCCTTTGATCGATTAACAGATAATATTTCTAAACATTCTTTTTTTCTCTTTTTAAAATTATCTTTAAGTAGTTGTACAAAGAAGTTCTCATTCTACAAAATAGTATATGAGTACAAAGTGTCTGACAACGTTGTCACCCATCTCTCTTAACCCATCCCTCTCTCACTTTTTTTCTTTGAGATTAGGTGATTACATAAATTTCACATATTTCACAGTATTGTGGAATAGTGATACTTAGAGTCAGAAATACATTTTAACTTTCACAAGGCAAATTGTCATTATCATGGTCTATACAGTTTTGGAATTCTATGAGCTTTGACATTACAAGTTACTTTTTCCACATCAGGTGATATTTACATTTTTTTCCTTTTGCTTAGTGTGGGCTGTTCCCACTTATTCTGTTCCTCCTCCTGTCTTCCCACTGTTGCATGCATATATCTACCATATATATAGTCTAGAACATGGAGTCATTTAGCAATGATACGACAAAATGGGTGGCTGTCCTTTGTTTCTTGAGTCCTGTTACTTTGCCATATCAGTACAACTATTTCTTCCACATTGGGTGATATGTGCCTTTTGCTTTAGTGTAAGCTGTTACCTCTCTCTCATTCCCTCCTGCCCATCGCTGCCCTTGAGTTGCTTAGTTCTTTTTAATCAATGTCCAGTGCAGCTGATGAATTCCTCTGTTACATATTTTCCCATTTCCCTCTGATTGTGTGTCCTCCTCTTAGCTTCCCTCAGATGTGCATACACACACACACACACACACACACACACACACACACACACACACCATATATGTGGTCAGGAACATGGAGTCATTTAGTAATGATATGACAAGTTGAGTGAAGGTCCTTTGTTTCTCGAGTCCTGTTTACGTTGTCATATCTCCTTGCATTTTGGATTTAACATCCACACATCAGGGAGACCATGTGCCCTTTGTCTCTCTGCTCTTGGCTTACCTCACTCAAACTGGTTTTTCTAGTTCCATTCATTTCCCTGCGAATGCCATTATTTTGTCCTTTCTAATGGCTGCATAATATTCCATTGTATATAGGTACCACAGTTTTTGGATCCATTCATCTGTAGTGGGGCATCTTGGCTATTGTGAACAGTGCTGCAGTGAACATGGAGGTGCATTTGTCCTTGCATCCTGGTTCCTGTTACTCAGGGTAGATCCTAGTGGTGTAGCTCAATCATAGGTGAGATCTATATTTAGCTTTCTGAGGTACCGCCAGACTGCTTTCTAAAGTGCTTGTATTAGTGTACATTCCCACCAGCCATGCAATAGGGTTCCTCTTTCTCCGCATCCCCGCCAGCATTTGTTGTTGGCTGAATTTAGGATGTTGGTCATTCTGACTGGGGTAAGGCGGTATGTCAGGGTTGTTTTATTTGCATTTCCTTTACAGCCAGGGATAATGAACATTTCCTCATGTGTTTCTTTTCCATTTTTATCTCTTCTTTTGACAAGTCTCTCTTTAGCTCCCTTGCCCATTTCATGATTGGTTTGTTAGATTTGGGAGGGATTAGTTTGAGTTCCCTGTATATAATAGATATTAGGTCCTTGTCTGATCTATTGCTGGTAAATATTTTTTCTCAATTATTTGGCTGCCTTTCTAGTTTGATAGCTATGTCTTTAGCTGTGCAGAAACTTTTTATTTTAAGGTAGTCTCATTTGTTGAATCTCTCCAATTTATTGTGACCCTGGGACTCTGTTGAGGAAGTTCCTGCCTGTGCCTATAAGTTCAGGTGTCTTTCCTGCTCTGTCCTGAGTAGTTTCAGTTGAGGTTTGATCTTAAGGTCTTTAATCCATTTTGAGTTGATATTAGTGCATGGTGACAGGCTGGGGTCCACTTTTAATTTTCTACATGTGGCTGACCAGTTTTCCCAGCACCAATATTTCAAGAGGCTATGCTTCTTCCATGAAGAAACATTTGGCTCCTTTGTCAAATATCAGCTGACTGTAAGTGTGTGGTTTTGTTTCTGGATCTTCTATTCTATTGGTCTTGGGGGTCTATTTTTGTGCCAATACCAAGCTGTCTTTGTTATTATGACTCTATAATAGAACTTGAAATCTGGTATCATGATTCCCTCCCGCGTTGTTTCGTTTGCCTAGAATTGCTTTGGCTATTCTAGGTCTTTTGTTGTTCCATATGAATTTTTTGGATTGTTTTCTCTATTTCAGTAAAGAATATTGTTGGGATTTTGATGGGAATTGCCTTGAATTTGTATATCAATTTTGGCAGTATGGCCATTTTCATTATATTCTGTCTATCCAAGAACATGGAAGGTATTTCCATTTCCTGTTATCCAGTGCAAGCCTTTTTTTTTTTTATCAAATTGGAGAGACTTTTGGGGAAGTACCCTTTTTGAGCTGGTGATTGAATCTACTAGGGCTTTGGACATGCTAGGCAATTGAGCTACATCCCCAGCCCAACTTGTAATTTTTTTTTTCTACCACTTGAGCCTCAGCTCCACTTCCAGCTTTTTTTCCCCTGCTTATGTGGTGCTGAAGAATCGAACCCAGGGCCTCATGCATGCAAGGCAAACACTCTACCACTGAGCCACCTTTCCAGCGCCCCAACTTGTAATTTTTAATTATTGAAACTTTTGACCAGTTCAGAAAATGTAAAGATGCTTTCAGGAATATAGTTTCTATCTAATTTCAATCAGGATTTTAGAATTCAGATGTGGCTCTATAAAACCCTTTTGTGTCAGATACAGATGTTGTATTATTAATAGACTGTAAGGTCATTATGGGATAAGAACCCCTTTGGGGTTCAGTGCTTCTTTGGGGTATGCAGTTTGTGACTATCATGAGAAATACAGGAATAGACATTCATGTACCAGCCTAAGTCTTATATCACTTGAGCTTCCTGTTTTTCAGGTAGGGTCTTAGTTTTGCTGGTTCTGGCCTCACCAAATTCTTATTCGTACTTCTGCATAGTTGGAATTATAGGTATAAGCCACAGTACTGTGCACAATTCTTGGTGTGATCACGTTTCATTTTTCTTTGGGTTCATATCAAGGAGTGCAGTTTTGAGATTCTGTAACATAATTGCTGGGCTGTTCATGAGCTTTGTTGCCTGCTAGATGAAAACTCATGCTCAACTCACATGTAAAGGTATCTGTGAGGTTATAACGTAACTTGTGTCTATATAATTATCTATCTTGATTGTAGCTTGAACTCCAATACTTTTGTGCATTGTTCTTAAAATGCATTTTGCATTGTCTCATTTCTGTGCAAGTCAGGAAATTGGAAATGCTAACTGCCTCCTTAATTTTTCTCCTAATCATATTCTTCTTCACTGAATTTCTGCTCTTCACTCAGCCTGGAGAGCATTATGCGCTTGTGATCTTTGACACATAGCCTGCAGAAAGAATATTATCTGATCTTTAACACTGTCTCAAGTTTCTTTCTTTTTGAAAATTCATTATAAGCCATTATAAGTATGATCCCAAACAGTGGCTGTAATTTGTATGTGACTGATTAAAGTTGGATCAAAAATTTATATCTATGAACAATGCAGTTGTAAGATTGCACTTTGGCAAAAAGTTCTGTTGGATAGTGATTTTTCAGGATTGTAAACTCAAAACTTTTCTGTTTTCTTTATAGACTTTGGATGGTACTTTGCTTATTATCTAGAATTCAATTAAAGTCATCCTGGTGCAGAATAGTATTTGGAAAGTGTTTACTTCTTCAGAGATGGTGATTGAACCAGAGAAGTGGATGAAGTATCTTGAGGGCTTCTACAGTTCTTCTGTTGTAAATCTTGCAGAATTAAGTCACACATCACAGATCCTATGGTGGCCACATTTTTTCAGATGTGCATGAGTCACTTTCCGCAAATGGCTTCCATGTTGGACATCCCAGATTGAGAACATTGAATGGTTCTGACTTAACCATTTGACTGTGATGGAAGATTGTGTCGTTTTGGTTTAAGTCTGGGCACCAGTGTCTCACCCCTATAATCCTAGCTACTCAGGAGGCTGAGATATGCCAGGCTGGGCAGTAAATCTGATCTCCAATTAAGCAGGAGAAAAGCCAGAAATAAAGCTGTGGCTAAAGTGGGTAGTGTTCACTGTGAGCAAAAAAAGTTCAGGGACAGTGGCCCAGGACTAGCAGCAAAGTAAAAAAGTAATCATAGGGCTGGGAAGGTGGCTCAGTGGTAGAGTGCTTGCCTAGCATGCATGAGCCCCTGGGTTCCATTCCTCAGCACCACATAAGCAGAAAAAGCGAGAAGTGGTGCTGTGGCTCAAGTGGTAGAGTGCTAACCTGGAGCTGAAGAGCTGAGGGACAATGCCCAGGCCCAGAGTTCAGGCCCCCAAACCTACCAAAAAAATATAATCATTGAGATATTTGATATCTTTGGTATTGCTCAGAATGGTCTTGTTCTGTAGGCCAGGCCAGGCTCAAACTCTTGATCCTCTTGCCTGTGCCTCCCAAGAGACCAATTTACAGACTAGGGTTTATTATAGGGACTAAGGATATACTCTTTACTAGACTTCTTAGCTATTTTCTAAGCAAGTCAAATAAGCTTAAACATTGATGTGACTTGTTTTGTATTTTGTTTTTTAATGAAGTTTGATACGTACAATGTTCTGAGGTGCATGTGTAGGTAAGTATACCTGTTAAACAACACATCTTATTGATGTTGGAAATAGTGCAGAAAACATAAGCAAGTGTGTATACTCTGCTTGCCTGAACTGTGCTCTGTTGAGAATATGGAGAAGGCAGGTACTTTGTAAACAAATAAGTTTATATACTTTCTTGTTTTTATTTTTAAAATTAATCATTTTATAGAACAGTTTGAGGTTTGTAACAAAATTGAACAGAATAAAATAAGCAAAACACCACTGGTTTCATTGTAAATTAAAGATCCTCTTCTCACAATTACCTAAATCAGTGAGTTCTTTTTAGATCAGGAATAGCAAAAACTTTAAGAGGGCATGGGGTAGTAAAATTAGGAGGAGCTGGCTGAGAATCTCCAGGGAAGGATAGAGTTCAGAGTGCTTTAAATTCTGGGACTTTGCAGGGGAAGCAAGATGTGTGTGTGTGTGTGTGTGTGTATGTGTTTAACTCCCTTTGAGAGTTGTTTTTTGTCTTTTTAAAAACTTTATTAGCATGCATTAATTGTATAAAGAGTTTTAATTGTGATATTACCCATAAATGCATATACTTAGATTAAATTCACTCTATCATTCTTACAAGTACCCAGCGCTAACCGATTGTGCAACTAGAGCTCCCACTCTTATCATTCTTATCCCTTATCAAACCCCTCCCTCCTTTTTAGAGGGTTTTGTTGTGCTGTTTTCATACATATATAATATGCTTAGGTATCCTATTCACCTTGTCAGCCTCTCCTTTTTTTGGGGGGGGGGGTCCGGTCGTGGAGCCTGAACTCTGGGCCTGGGCGCTGTCCCTCAGCTCTTCAGCTCAAGGCTAGCACTCTACCACTTGAGCCACAGTGCCACTTCCAGCTTTTTTCTTTTTTTGCTTATGTGGTGCTGAGGAATCGAACCCAGGGCCTCGAGCATGCAAGGCAAGTGCTCTACCACTGAGCCACCTTCCCAGCCCCAGCCTCTCCTTTCTTGTGTCTTCTTGTTGATTTTCCCCCAACATCCTCTCACTATCAGGGCATTGTTATTATTATTACTTCATATATGAGAGAAAATGTGATGTGTGTAGCATATGATAGAATATGGAATATATATATATATATGTATATATAGCTAATTTTGTCTTTTTTTAGGAAAAAAGTTGTTTAAGAAATACAGAAAAGTGCAAAAGGAACACTAAACTCACCTCATCCAGAGGTAATCACTATTCATATTTTATGTATCTCCATTAAGATGTAGTTGTATTTTCACAGAGGTGCATGTGTCTGTAAGTATGTGTAAACTTGGGATTGTTTTACATAAAGCATTATATTCTACTTTTTCCCTTAACAATGTGCCTTCTTAGGCCTTTAAACATCATTTTGTTTCTCCCCAGTTCTGAGAATTGAACTTAAGGCCTTGAGCATGCTGGTCACTAAGCCATTTTTAAAAAAAATTTAAACTATTTTAGAAATCTCTTTACTTTGGAAAGTAACTGCATAATACAGTTTCATGATAATGCACTGGCTATGTCTTGGTTTTAACTAACTTTCTTTTTGCTCAAGGCTGGTGTTACACAACTTGAGCCACAGGTAGTTCACTTTTATTGGAGATACGAGTCTCACATACTTTTCTTCCTTCAGGTAGTATCTTCAGAGTTTAGCCTCCTGAGTAGCTAGGGTTAGAGACATAGCCACTAGCACTAGCACCCAGCCTTATTTTAACTATTATAAGGACATTTATGCTGTTTGTAGGACTTTCCCATGTTAATTATTAGGGATGTAAGGACTTTTTTTTCTCTTAGTTTCTGATAGAGTTGTAAAGAAAAGATTGCAATATCCTGGTTGTATACCCATTAGGACAGTTGGCATTCCTTTTCTATTCTTTATTGATTTGGAACCATATGGAATAGACTGCTTTATTACAGCTTAGAGAAAGACATTTACTCCCTGTCTTTGAGACTAATGCTGTAGATATATCTGAAAACAAAAGCACTTGGCTAAGTCACTGTTTTTTTGTGTTTTTTTTTTGTTTGTTTTTGTTTTTTTTCCCTTTTTAGAGCTTGAAATCATGAATCCTGTTTATAGCCCTGGATCTTCTGGGGTTCCCTATGCAAATGCCAAAGGAATCGGTTATCCAGGTAAGCAAAGTTTTTTTCATTAAACATGATATATTTCCATATTATTAAATACATTTAGAGTGGATAAATCCAGCTCAGAGTGGCTTAAGGAAGAAGACAGATGGAAGTGAAAAATCAAGAGACAGGTATTTTTTTTTCTTTCTTGCCAGTCCTGGGGCTTGAACTCAGGGACTGGGCACTGTCACTGAGCTTCTTTTGCTCAAGGCTAGCACTCTACCACTTGAGCCACAGTACTACTTCCAGATTTTTTTGTATATGTGGTACTGAGGAATCGAACCTAGGGCTTCATGCATGCTAGGCATGCACTCTACCACTAAGCCACATTCCCAACCCAGATATGGTTTTGATCAAAACTTGATCTGGTACTCTAGCACTTGGGACCAGGACCTAGTTTCTGTACCTGTTGGCCCCAGCCTTACTTCTTCAGTATTGCCTCAATGTTGGGTCATAGGCCTTTGAGGTTCAGCCCCTCAAGGCACCCTCTGACTAGATCGTCTTTATCTCTGCCTTATGGAAAACTCTGGAACTTCATGTTCTGTATTGACATTAGTTCTGGGATTTGTCCTGATTGAACACAACTTCCACCTTCTACGGCCAGGGAGGGATCCTACCACATTTTTCTTAGTGGAGTCAGCTATCAAACAGCTTTGAGGGAAGCTATAAATAACAATTTACCATTTTTGGTTAAAAAGTAATAATGGTTGCCTGAATTGGTGACTTCATTTACAAGAAGTAGTTATTTGTAATATTACAGGTATATTGTCAGTTTTTATAAAAATGGTGGATAACAGAAAACTATGTTGCTACAAAACCCTAAGAAAATGGAGTACAGCATTTTGCAAATGGGTAACTAAACTTGCAGGAGGGAGGAGATATTTTAGGAGCCTAAAATGAAAGAAAAATCAGCTCTCTTAGCCTTTCAGCTGTCTGTCCTGGAGGCATTTGCTGTTTGAGTTTTAGTCAGAACTGGTAGGTTAGGATCTTGAGGAACAGGAAGCCAAGGCCCTCTCATCAGGCAGTCTGAGTGGTGGAGTTCCTGCAAAGAGGTGGGCTAACTAGTCCACTTACTGGCCTCAAAAAGAAGCTGTGTCTGTGTCGGTTCTGAGAAGGGAAGTTTTTTTTTATGCTTTCTAGCCATTCAGGACGTTTGTGGGCTCTAGCTAGTATAACTTGTACTTCCTGGGGGTTCAGAAGTTGAGAAACTAACAAAAAGTTAACAGGTTCTCAACCTACTGTGCAAAATGGTTAGAAAATATGGGAAAAGTCACCAGTCACGACACACTAGAATGGAACCAGGCAAGTTTAGAATAGTTGCAAAGAAAGAACAAAAAAAAGGAAAGATGCTTGGTGTGTGTGCACACTGAGAGAGAAAGGGAGAGGTGGGGGGGGGCGGAGAATATGAACTGGAATTTAAAGATAGGATATGCAAGACAGAACATTGCTAAGAGAGAACCAGAAGGGGAAATAGGTGACTGATTAGGAAGTTTTAAAGAGGTAGAAGACCATTCTAGAAAGATTGAGTAGGGGACTGAGGCAGCCTTGTGTCTCAGCCTCCTCTCTCAGAGGTGTGTTACTTGGATGCTGGTGCTGTTTTTATTTGAGGAGTGTAGGGGGGTGTATGTATCTGGACTTCGTGGAGCTTCATACCCATCTCCTTACTCCTGTGTGAGTGCTGTTTGCTATGAATCTATGTAGGCACTCAGGTCTTTTGCTGACACTCTTATTTTTTCCAACTTGAAAAAAAAGTGGCAAGGGTTTTATTTGGTCGGTAGTGAGGCCTGAACTCTTGGTCTAGGCGCAGTCCCTCAGCTCTTCAGCCGTAGTCCCTCAGCTCTTCAGCTCAAGGCTATCTCTCTACCACTTGAGCCTAGCACCACTTCCAGCTTTTTCTGCTTATGTGGTGCTGAGGAATCGAACCCAAGCCCTCATGCATGCAAGGCAAGCAAGCACTCTACCACTGAGCCACCTTCCCAGCCTAAGAGTTTTCAAGAATTGGTGGAAGACAGTTTAGTGATGATACCAGCTGTTTTTAAATGTGCAAACACTGTCTAAATGGAATAGCAGAAGAGGATTCTCAGTGAATCTGGAGCTAGGGAAGTAGCCAAAGCCTTTGGTTTTAGCATTACCTGGTAGGTTTACTATAAAAAACAAACAAACATTAATTGTCTTACAATCGCCAATCCATGGTGGTGTTCATCAGGGTCTCTAGCACAAGAGCACCCTCTGATGCTACCCAGCAAGGCATGATCTAAGAATACTGGAATTGGGTGATGGTTTGGCGCCATGGAGAGTCATTTGCTCCCTCCTGCTCAAAGAGATTTCTGGAGCAAACAACTTCTATAGGATTTATCTAAAATCTCAGTCTCCCCATCATCACTTCAGGTCATTCAAACCCTGGGGTCAAATGAATGGAATTATGTGTCTCTTTTGGTGCTCTTGCTCATAAATGGAGAGACTGGTCTGGTGCCTTTCTTTTTATTTATATTTACTAGAAAGGAAGGATATTTTCTCAAAAGATACTGTCTTTACTCAAAATAATTATTGAGATGATTTAATCAATACTAGAAATTTACTGATTTCTCATCAATAACATCTGTGTTTGTTCATTTCTACTTTGTCTTTTGGATTAAATATTTTTATTCTTTCACCTTTTTAAAATTTATTTTAGGGAGGGGAGGGATTTGAGACAGGGTCACACTATGTAGCTAGCTAGGCTCTAGTACCTGCTTCAGACTCCTGAGTGCTATGATTACAGTCTGCTCCTGTACACATGACTTTTTAAAAAAGATTACCATATTTTTAATATCCCTTTTCTCTTTTTGTAATGTTTTTACCATACATTTATTCAGCTGACCACCATCACATTAATTCACATTGGTTTTGGTGCCCTTTATCTGTTTCTCTGGTGACATGTTTCTTAGTTATTGTCCTTTATACTTATATTCCTCCTTACCGTTGGTAAATTCATTACTGAATTTTGTTTTGTGACTGTCTTTAATTTTGCTTTCCTTTTGGGACATGTTTGTGCTGAATATACTTGCTTTCTGTTGCTGCTATAACAAGTTATCAGGAACTTGGTGGATTAAAACACAGAAGTTTATTTTCTTTTGTGAAAGCCAAATGTCTGGAATTAAGAATTCAGCAAAGTTGTACTTGCAGAAGCTCTAAGGCAAACCTGTTGCTGTTGATGGTCCTTGACTTCCTGCCTTGTGGCAACATCACTTCCTGTCTTCATGTTTATATTCTCTGCCCTTTTGTGTATGTGTGTGTGTGGGGGGGGTATTTTTATAAAGATACTTATCATTGGATGTAGAACCTACGTGGGTAGTCCAAGGTTTTCTCAGCATACTAAGTCTGCAAAGGCCTTTTCAAAATAAGGCCCTAGTTGCAGATTCTAGAGATCTGATTTGGTATCTTTGAGATTCCATTTTTATTTTACCTAATAACATTGAATGTAGATTTTCTTTTTTTGGTGAGTACTTTCAGATTTTAAGGTTACAATTGTATATTTGTCTTATTTAGCTCTTCTTTTCCACCCCTCTTCTCATTCATGCGTGCGTGCGTGCGTGCGTGCGTGTGTGTGTGTGTGTGTGTGTGTGTGTGATAATACTAAGGTTTTAACCTTAGTTAAATGGAGCCTTTCTGGGGCTCCATTTCTTGAGCCATATCCCTAACCCTTGTGCTTTGAGATGGGTATCAATTTTTTGTCTAGGCTGGACTGGACTCCAATGCTTCTATTTAAATTTCTTGTTTATCTGGGATAGCAGCTTTTGTCTGTTGTTAAGATGAGGTTTTGATTACTTTTCTTCTCAGGTTGGCCTTGAACTTGAATCCTCTCAATGTCTGCCTCCCAAGTACTTGGCATTACATTTGTGCCAGGCCTTGGCATGTCTTAAAGGAGACTTCAGTTGGTTTTAACTTAATACACCATATATATGTATGTACACACACATTCCATTTAAAATCATGGCAGCCCTGTAAGACCACCAAAACCCTTTTATGGTTCTTTGTCCTTATGTTAGAGGCCTGTATCTGGGGAGAGCTTATACTCAGTCTTTCTTCCATGCTGAGAATTGTTAAGTACCCTAAGCTGACATATTCATGTATCTTAATTTCCTCCATGGACAGTGGATGAAATTGAGACACATCTATTTTGGGGGGAGAAAGTTAAAAGGGGAAGCAGCAGAATTGGGTAGGGAGAACCTGATATTGGAGTGCTCAATTGTAAAAGTCTAAACTGTCCTTCTGATGCTCTGGAACAGTGAGTGACACTTGGAGGAGGCCTGTGTTACAAGCATTACTGTTGGAGGCTGCTGGCCCACCTACACTCTTTACTGATGAACAGCAGGTTCTTGACTAGCAATGCAGGCACTCCTCAAGTTGCATTGTCAGCTTACGTGTTCTAGGAATCCCATGTCAGTTGGTTTGTTCCTTTTTTAGTTTTTTACATCACTAAGTTATATAGTCTCTATCTCCATCTTCTGGAGTTTCCTTACTTTATTCAACCAGTTTCTTTTTAATGGTGTTGGAAGTTTTTGAATTACTTCCTGTACCACAGTGCTACAGACTGAATAGCCTTGTGGTGAGTGTGTTTTTGGAAATTACATTCAAGGTAGATTCCTACAGGTAGAAGGTGTTTACTGAGGCAGAAAGTAAGTGTTCAGGGGCTGGGAAGGTGGCTCAGTGGTAGAGCGCTTGCCTTGCATGCCTGAGGCCCTGGGTTCAATTCCTCAGCACCACATAAACAAAAAGAAAAAAGCCGGAAGTGGTGCTGTGGCTCAAGTGGTAGAGCACTAGCCTTGAGTTGAAGAGCTGAGGGACAGCGCCCAGGCCCAGAGTTTAGGCCCCACGACCGGACCCCCCCCAAAAAAAAGTAAGTGTTCATACAGGTTTTTTTTTGTTTATATTTTTTGTTTTTGTTAGTTATGGGGCGCCCACTCAGGGCCTGGGGACAGTCCATTATTTTACTTGCATCAGTGGTGTATTAGAAGTTGTTGCAGGTTTTTCTGTGACCTTTTCTGCAGTTAATTACCAAGTACTGTAAACTAGGTAGTCCTCACAACACCCAATGAAGGAACCAGAGAACAGGAAGAGAACATTATAAAAACTGCACCATTTATGCCTATTCTATTCTCATTTAAAACATCAGTGTTATTTTTGGGGTAAACAAAGTTTTGATAACAGTTCAGTTCTATCTACTTAAATAATTTAGATACAGATTTCTCTGGATAATTTCTTGAATAATAAAAGAGCTGCCTTTTGCCTAGCCCCATTTATACATATACTTTTAATCTCTAGTCTTCCAGAAATTTATGGAACTAGAAATAAAAATTCTTAAAATCTATAAAATGATAAAATGTGCAAAATAACTTCTTCCAGAAATTTATAGGACTAGAAATAATATTTAAATTTGTTTTTGTTTAAATAATTTTTTTATTGTGAAGATACTATACAGAGGGGTTACAATTATAAGAGCAAAGTAATGAGTACATTTCTTTTTTTTAATTTTTGTTTATTTTTTATTGTGAAAATACTGTACAGAGGGGTTACAATTACATGGACAAGATAATGAGTACATTTCTTATCAAGCATTATTGCCTCCTACCATCCCTGCCCTCCCGTCTCCATGACTACACTCCTCCCCCCCTTCACCGAAGTTGTAAAGTTGGTTTTTCCACACAGCGTCTTGTACATCTCATTGTTGCAATGGGTCCACTTGTATTCGTATTTAAACCATTTGTTTTTTCCCTTCCCCTCCCCAAATTATACCTACATCAAATACAGTGAAAACAGGGGTTATACCATGGGGGAGGGACATACAAAGCAACAAAAGAATCATCTTATAAATATGTTAGAAACAATAGCAAGAAAGCAAAAACCACTTGTGCCCTTATCTTGGGGTTCATTTGCCTAACATCATCTTATCTCACCTTTTCTGCTTGTCTCAGACATACTCGTTAATTGCAAATAAGGGAAATCTTGGGACCTATGTTTTTTGGGGCCTGGCTTAGTTCACTTAATATAATTTATTTTTTTTTAAGTCTTATAGACTTTTAACTGTGAGCCTCAAATCTCAACCTCCTCAAATAGCTAGGATTATAGGCATGAGCCACCAGCACCCAGCTATGTTCATACAATTTTTAAAAAGATTGCCAAGATTACTTCCATAGGGACTTCACTGTCTGTCTGTCTGTCTGTCTTTCTTTCTTTCTCACAATCATGCTTTGGCAGGCTTGGCTAGTTTGGTGTGAGAAATGGTGTCACTATAGTGATAGTTTGTAGTGCTAGCTGTCTCTGTCTGTTGGTGCTTTATTTCTTTACTGGCTTTTTGTTCTAGTTTAAAGTGTTATTATCTCTTTATCCTAAGTAATTTATTTATTTTTAATTGTGAAAATACTGTACAGAGGGGTTATATCTTAAGTAATTTATAGATATCCCTCTAATTGGTCTTTTTACTTAGTTTTGCTTTTCTGAGAAGTGACTAGACCCAGAAAAGTGGTTAAAAGTGCAGGATCATTCTGACCCTTACTGTGGAGACAGGGCTTTCCAGTCTCTGCAAGCTCCAAGAGTACTAAAGTACACCCTGAAGAAGATGATGGTTGTGAACAGGCAGAAACACTACTTTGGAACCCTGAGACCAGCTAATCCAATATTCTGGTGGGTGGCGTAGGCTGTCTCGGGGGTTTTATGTAGTCCAGATAGAATCTTGGAGTAGAAAAAGTGAAGTGAACTTTGTTTATCTGGGTGAGGGTGGTGGCAGAGGGAGAGATGAGAAGATGGAAGCAATAGACACACCCCAGGAAAGTGGGCTACATGGGTAGCATCTGATGATCATTGTTTACTAGACTGTTTAAAATGACTGCTGTATATGTTTTCTGGTTAATTTTTTAGAGCATATCAAATGATTGTTAGAAGGTTGAGATGACAAGGCCCAAGGAAACTTTAACAGTACTGCAGAGTAGACAATTCTCTATATTTATGGGAAAAGATGAGGAAATTTGGATTCTGTGGGAGTTATTGCAGAGACCTACAGAATATGATCTAGTTTAATGAATGGTGTTTCACACTGTAAGAATGAAACCACTAAAAAAAATTGTGACATTGTCCACCACAACTATGCACGACAGCTTACATGGTCTTACATTGGGGCCTTTAAAGCTCAGTCCACAGAACACTACTGTTCTAAATTAGCAAATTTAGTTTATGTGAGTACTGCTTACTTGTTTTCTAACTAATAAGAGGGCAACTGGAGAATTGAGACTCTAGGAGGGAAACCCAGAGTAACAGGTTTCGGTTCTGTGTCAGTTTCAAGAGCAAAGAAAACACCTTGGAAGCATTGGATTCATACAGGAGACGAGCTGGTCCCTTGAAGAGGTTACTATGAGCCATAGGATTGGTGATCCCTGTTTCTTCAGAAACCTTGGGGCTTGTAGAAGCTTATGAAAGTGGGATAGCTGTTCAGGGCTTCCAGGGGTGGGGTGATTAGAGAAAATAGCTTTATCTAGAACTTTCAAATCTACTCAGGGGTTGAGGGTATATGTACCTCAGTGGTGGAGTACTTGCTAAGCATTTGTGAGACATGGATTTCTGTATTCAGAACCACAAACAACAAAAATAAGACTCACCCACAAAACTTTCCTTTTGGAAGTCAATCTCTCCTGTCCCTAGTCTTTACCTAACCCTAGGCAGCCCTCAGTTTTCAGACTGTTACTATCTGGACTCTTTAAGGGGACATGATACTGCCTTCAATATGTTGGTCTGTATGTCTGCAGGAGTCCCCTCCCCCTTTCTTGGGTTTAACAGTTTTGAAGCCTGCAGTTTTCAGTCACCTTTTTGCACAGGTGAGGGGATAGAGAAGAATTTCCTCATATAGCTGTGGCAGTTAAGATGAGTGAGCCTGGTTTGCTTCATTGGCTCTGTGCCAAGTATAAAGAAGGGTCCAGGGGTTAGGCAGAAGGGGGTGGGGGGGGGCAGAGAATCCCCTGGGCTCTGAAGAGGATGGGGCAGGTGACAGTCTCTCTCCACTGGGGGCCACCTTATTAAGAGGGTAGGATTCCTACAATAATAGCCTTATATTTCTATAAGTTGTACGAAATTGAGGAATTAATGGCTATGGTTTGATTTCACTAAGGATTCCTAACGTGTTAATAAAGATCATCTTCATTGTATGTGTATCTTCAGTAAGAAGATTGACGTTTAATGACATTGATACCTGGGTTCAGTCACCATGAATTTGGGAAAGTTGGGGATTAGAACTTCAAAATAAGAGGCTTGACAGTAATGTAGAAGGTTTTAATGGTATCTGAGAGCAATAGCTTCTTCTCCCCCCTTCCCCCCCAAATTACTATCTTTTGGGCTGGAGGATAGCTCAAGTGGTAGAGCACTTGCCTGCCCATCATACATGAAGCTTTAGATAAAACTCCTAACAACACACACAAACTAATTTTTTTTTTTTTGGTCAGTCATGGGGCCTGAACTCTGGCCTGAGTGCTTGTCCCTCAACTCTTCAGCTCAAGGCTAGCGCTCTACCACAAGCCATAGCACCACTTCGGGTTTTTTTTTCTGTTTATGTGGTGCTTAGGAATCGAACCCAGGGCCTCATGCATGCAAAGCAAGCACTCTACTACTGAGCCACCTTCCCAGCCCACAAACTAGCTTTTAAATAGAAATATGTAATGCTAACGGCTATGTCTTTGGAGTCACTGCCTCTCATTGGTAGCAGTGTTATTTATAAGCTATTGCATTCAAGTTCAGTTTAATCCTGGTTCCTCCATACTTAGTCCAGTGAAGCCACAATACTATTAGCATCCCTATTCCTCCTCTTAAGTAGCAAGTGATGTGATTAGAGTCTGTAATGAAACTGTTGGAAGTGTTAGGGTTTCCTAATTGCAGCTTGGGCCCCTCCTGTCTCCCCTCTTTATTCTCTCCCTTTCCCCTTATTTTTTCTCCACTTATCCTTCCTTTGCAGTAATACTATGACTTAGGTATTGTTATTTATTTTGGTGGTTGGAAATAACCCCACAGCTTTATACATGCTAAACATACACTTTACCAGTTAGCTCAGCTATACCTTAACCCTTGATTTAGTTCTTAGGGGAAAGGAAGACAAGGTCTTACTGGCCCAGGCTTCCTTATTTTTCTGCTTTCCTTTTTTCAGTCATGGGGCTTGAATTCTGGGCCTGGGTGCTGTCCCTGAGCTCTTCAGCTTAAGGCAAGTGCTGCTGTGTGAGCCTCAGCACCACTTCTAGTTTTCTGGTGGTTAATTGGAGATAAGAGTCTCACGGACCTTCCTGCCCCAGCTGGCTTTGAACTGTGATCCTCAGATCAGCCTCCTGAGTAGCGAGGATTATAGGCGTGAGCCACCAGCACCTGGCTTCCTTACTTTCTTGATACTCCTGAGTGCTGGGATTATAGGTATGTGCCCTGGTGCCCAATACTCTTTTGACAGTAGACTTTTTAACTCACGTTCTAAATTGGTCCAGGTGTAGAAAGGTGTGAGCATTTATTCATGGGTTTAAAAACCCTGATTATGGATGTTACTCATCAAAATTTTGAGGAAAAGAAGACAAGCAGGGATAAGCTGTTGGGCACATGTACTGCCATGGGGGTCCTGTGCATCTCTGTGGAGCTATACAGATGATGACTGTAAAATTTGTGGGCTTGTGGGAGCTTTAGTTGTAAGATTACTTTTGACAATGACATGTTGTGCTCTATGTGTTTTTGTTTTGTTTGTTTTGTTTTCCAGCTGGCTTTCCCATGGGCTATGCAGCAGCAGCTCCTGCGTATTCTCCTAACATGTACCCTGGAGCAAATCCTGCCTTCCAGACAGGTACGTGCTGAGGAGAAGGCAATAGATAATCTTTGAGAAGTGAGTTGCATGGAATAGGATTTGGGTTAAGTAGATTTCTCAGTTCATAAAGTTAGCCTGTTGATAAGTAACCTAAAATCTTAATTCTCCTTCACATCAGTCTGTAGATACTGCTTTCAGATCCTCCCATCACCCAATCTTTATTCTAATCAGTGAGTTGTTATAAGTAACTCTTTGTGTCAGACCTCTCTTCTTGGAACAGAGGTGACTCCTAGAAAATTGTTTTGCAGATGATTTTTCCACTAGTCTTCTTTCACTGTGATTATTTTTTAAAGTCTTTTTCATGTAACATGTTGTAAGAGAACAATTTTAGATTTGAAAAATCGTTGTTAAAATTGAAAGTGGAAAGAAAAAGCTGGTGCTGGCACTCCCATCTGTAATCCAAATTTCTCAGGAGGCTAACACCTGGAGCATTATGATTCAAAGACAGCCCAGGGTCTCAGTTTAACCAGTAAAATGCTAGACTGGAGGGTTGGCCCAAGTGGTAGAGTGCCAGCCACAAGCAAGAAAGCGGGAGAGAGCTTATGTCGCCGAGTTCAAGCCCTGGAACTTAGCATAGAAAGAAAAAAAATTGAAAGTGGAATTGCTTTGGGTCAGTCTTACAAAGTTGTTGATTTAGTGGGATTTTCTCTTGTGAGTGAACACCCTCTGTTGTTGGCTTTTATCAACCATTATTTGCCCAGAGGACTTTGTGAATCCTTTGCAGCAGTGGTCAAGCCATATGACATAGCTTGTTCTCCACAGGTGGCACCTTGCAAGACTTGGGTTCTTTACTTCTGAGAACATGTGAGGAGAGAGCAACAGTGTTCACCAAATTCCTCCTGTTTTCTGACTCAGAATTCTGCCTCAGTAGTCTATCCTTTTGTTTATCTAGTATTATTAGCTTTCTCCAGCCTTTAGCAAAATTATACCTAAAGGAAAGTTTTGACTTGGTCTTTCTGCTCCCAGTCTTGTCCTGGGAAAAGTGGTTCATGCCTCCTGCCCACCTAAATCAGGGTGATATGTCCACTTTTAAACTTTAGACTCCTAGCTTTTTGTCACAGTGTGTGTGTGTGTTCTCCCCTCTCTCAAGGTTGGTACTCTGCCACTTGAACCACAGCTCCACTTCTGCCTGTTTTGGTGGATAATAGAAATCAAGAATTTCACAAACTTTATTGCCCAGGCTGGCCTGGAAGCACTGTCCTCAGATCTCATCCTCTTGAGGGGCTAGGATCATAGGTGTGAGCCACTGGTGCTTGGTTGCCATAGGTTTTCTTTTGTGGTATTGCTTTTTTCTCACAAACTTTCTTGCTTTTTTTCTCACATACTTTCTCCTAACTGGACTACTGCCTTTCTTTTGCACCTCTTTTTTTTTTTTTGGTCGGTCATGGGGCTTGAACTCTGGGCTTGGGTGCTATCCCTCGCTTGAGCCACAGCACCACTTCCAGTTTTCTAGTGGTTTATTGGAGATAAGAGTCTCACGGACTTTCCTGCCCGGGCTGGCTTTGAATCATGATCCTCAGATTTCAGCCTCCCTGAGTAGCTAGGATTACAGGTGTGAGCTACTGGCGCCCAGCTTCTGCACCTCTTTGAAGCTGTTCCTCACAGAGCCACCCATCTTCTTTAGTGTAACATTTCATATCATTTAACTTTCTTTTATTAACAGCTTTCTTGAAATATTACATGTATAATAAACTGCATTTGTTTTTTTTTGTTTTTTTTTTCTGGTTGTACTGGGGTTTGAACTCAGGGCTTAAGCCTTTTCGACTTGAGTCACATTTTCATATGTGAGGATGGAATTGTATATATAGAAAGTACTTTTTTCTCTTTTGTACTGCCTTCTTTCATTTAGCATAATCATTTTAACATTATGATTGTAGTTAACTCCATTTTATTGTTAGGTACTGTCCTATTATATACAAATACTTTGCTTTTGCATCTGTTAATGAACATTTGCATTATTTGCAGTTTTTCAGTATTGTAAATAAAAATGTTGTGCCTGTTCATATACACTTCTGTGTGGATTTGTGTTTTCATTTGTCTTCAAGGGGTAGAATGGATCTTATAGTGGATGTTTATTTAACTTAGTAAGAAACTGCCAAGTCGCCTTCCAAAGTAGGTATAACATTTTACTTTCTTCAGTAATATGAGAGTTCCAGCATTTCCTTTTCCTCACACAGTGCTAGTATGATCAGTCTTTTATTTATCTGTCCTGGTGGATAGACCTGATGTACCTTGAGCTTTTAATTTGAATAGAAGATGAATTTAACATACTAGGATTACCTTTTATGTGCTTAATTTGCTATTTTTATGTCATTGATAAAGAATTTGTATGCTTTTTTTCTGTGTCAGTTGCTCAAGTGGTTAAATTATTTTTTCTTAAAGTGGTTGATAGTTTGTTGACTGGGACTGTATGTTGCCCTGGCTGCACTCAAAACCATGGGCCGAGTGATCCTCTTGCCTCCTTGATAGTTGGATCACAAGTTCACCACACTTTCCAGGGCCCACGTTTGTTTATTGTTTGTTAAATTTTGAGAGGTCTTTATTCTATGTCATTTTTTATACATTAATGGTGTTCTTTAAAGGACAGAGTATTAAAAATTTGACTAGGTTCACTTTATCATTTTAATTTTTGGTATCCTAGCTGAGAAATCTGCCTAACATTATATCACAGTGATTGTCTGCTTTTTGTCTTTTGGCAGTTTTGTAGTTTTAACCTGTATATTTAGACCTGTTGCCCATTTTCAGTTAGTTTTTGTGTGGCGTGTTAGATAAAATTTAAGTTCATTTTTTTGTGTATTAAAAATGCTGCACATTATAATGCTGCAGAGCATCATAAAGCAAGTTAGTTTTTTTTTTAAATTACTATTATTGTACCAGTACTGGGGCTTGAACTCAAGACCTCAAGCTCTTGTTTGACCTTTTCTTTCAAGACTGGTGTTCTACCACTTGAGCCATACTTCCACTTTTAGCTTTTTTTTTTTTTCCTCATTAGTTGGAGATAAAACTCGGCTTTGAATTGTGATCCTCAGATCTTAGCCACTTGAGTGGATAGGATTGCAGGCTGAGCCACCAGCACCTCACAAAACAATTTACTTTTCAAGAATTTAAAAATTTATCTAGCTATTTTACACTAATGATCTTCCTTTTTTGGTCGGTCATGGGGCTTGAACTCTGTCTGAGCTTTGGCGCTGTCCTTCAGCTCTTCAGCTCAAGGCGAGTGCTGTACCACTTGAGCTACAGCGCCACTTCGATTTTCTAGTGGTTTATTAGAGATAGGAGTCCCACAGTCTTTCCTGCCCAGGCTGGCTTTGAACCTCGATCCTCAGATCTCAGCCTCCTGAGTAGCTAGGATTACAGGCATGACCCACTGGCACGGAGCTCACTAATGATCTTAATGGAGTAATGGAGTACATGTTACTATGGAAATATACTAAAGACTTCCAACTCATTGTTTCAAATAAGTTTAATAAGGTTTATTATGTTCGGCTGGCAAAGCTGTTTTTGCCAAAAGTATATAGCCTTGCCTGCAGAAAAAGCTGGTGTTGAGATGTTGGTGCTACTGAAAAGGTTCTCATCTAGAGCTTTTTGACAGGTGTCATCCAGCCTTGTTCAGCTCTTTTCTATTAGATGGAGATTGATTCTTTCTTGCTCCCTGCTCCCCTTTTTGTGGCAGTACTAGGATTTGAATTTAGTGCCTTAGGCTCTCAGCTGTTTACCTTATGACTGGTACTCTGCCACTAGAGACAGACCTCCAGTCTGACATTTTACTAGTCAATTGAAAATAAGTCTACTAGACTTTACTGCCTGGGCTAGCTTGGAACCATATCCTCCAGGTCTTAGCCTACTGAATAGCTAGGATTAGTAAGTCACCAGTGCCTGGCTCTTTCTTCCCTCCAAGATTGCTCACGACCGGATCCACTAATTCAAAGCTAGGACAGGCAGAAAGAGCTATAGCTTCCCAGAAGTCCTGCCTTGTTGAAGAGATGTCTGTCTAGCAGTGCCAGAACTTTTTTGCCCAAGGTTAGCCCTCTACCACTTGAGCCATTGGAGATAATAGTCTCACAGACTTTCTTGCCTGGGCTGGCTTCAAACCACAATCATCAGATCTCAGCCTCCTGAGCAGCTAGGTTTACAGGCGTGAACCACCAGTACCTGATTCGAATGTTTTATTCTCCCTTTTCATTGAATCTTTTCTCCTTAACTTGTAAGTAAGAAAAAGACATCACTATGAGACACAATTAAGAGAAGATTTTTTTCCATTTCCTCTGCTTTCTTTCTTCCTTTTTCTTCTCTTTTTTCTTGTTGTTTGTATGTGTTTGTGTTTTGAAACAGGGACTTGCTATATAGTCTACATTGGCCTTGAACTCATCCTTTCCCTCTTTACAAGCACTGGGATTATAAGTGTGTACCACCATGTCCAGATTCCTGTTGCTTCCTTCATCTGCCCCTTAGTTCTCTTACTGCCAGATGTGTAGACAGAAGCTGCTCTGTGGTTTAGATGGTGGATATATAGAGTGGATTTCCTGAGCACTTTTACAATCCTAGTGCTGCTCTTAACGCTCTTCAAAGTGTGATGCTGAGAGTGTTCAGAGAACCTTGGAAAGAGATGTGTTCTGTTACTCAGACTGGAAGTGGAGAATATGTCATTCATGTTGTCTTCCTGAAAAATACAGAATGTAGCCAGAAGGCTGTTTTTATAATCAGAGCTTTGGGACTAAGGTCAGTAGGTGTGGCATAGCTTCTGGTTTGTGTCACTCCTGGGGAGAAGCATTTTTAAGTTCACTAGTATTGTTTAACGAATGAATTCACTCCTTGGCTATATTACTAGAAGATTCTAGTCTTAAAACAAAGAATTGTAAAGGTGATATACAGAGGGGTTACAGTTACATGTTTCAGGTAATGAGTACATTTCCTTTTGAACAGTGTCACCCTCCTTCATTCTTTCCCAGTTTTTCTCCTGATTCCTGTCATATGTTCAT